GCAGCTCTGATGTGGTTGAAGTCCTACCGAGAAAGTAGTGAACAATGTGTTCAGGTGAGAATCGTTAGGTCTAGTCTACGCCCCCCCGCCCCCCGCCCCCCAAAAAAAATCCAAGAGTGCCTCAAGGTTCCGTTTCGGGTCCCTTAATGTTCACGATGAACATTAACTACCTTCCAGACTTTTGTCGAGCATTAACTGCCAGCTCGATGCGGATGACACTGTGTCAGCAAAAAGATCTGCACTGTTTGCCGTATACAACAGTCTCTTGTTGGTTTACGCTTTTTCGGCAGGCCAATGAAGACTGCTGCTTGATCTTCTCCCAGAGTGGGTGTCAGTGAAAAGTAAAAATTCATTTCTTTTCATCTTTGTGTGCAATTATCGTTGACAGAGTGAAGTGCACCATGCTAAGTTTGATGCTAAGTTTGGTTAGAGAGTAGAATCCGAGTATCTCATTAGCTTTTCTCTATATGCTCCCATTTGCAGATCCCAGGATGAGGAAAAAATAACACGCAACAAAACCTCAAATCCAATAGGTCACAAACAGATCTGGGGACTTCTGATGGGCAATAAAGGACAGGGAAGTGGACTGGTGCATTTTTATGAAAAAAATGCAGCGTCAACCTTTCATGCACCCTGTAACCTGATAACATGGTAAGCTGTCCACTGTCGTAACCGCTGTCCCTGAAAGTGTTAATTGTCACCTGCAGCTCTGATGTGGTTGAAGTCCTACCGAGAAAGTAGTGAACAATGTGTTCAGGTGAGAATCGTTAGGTCTAGTCTACGCCCCCCCGCCCCCCGCCCCCCAAAAAAAATCCAAGAGTGCCTCAAGGTTCCGTTTCGGGTCCCTTAATGTTCACGATGAACATTAACTACCTTCCAGACTTTTGTCGAGCATTAACTGCCAGCTCGATGCGGATGACACTGTGTCAGCAAAAAGATCTGCACTGTTTGCCGTATACAACAGTCTCTTGTTGGTTTACGCTTTTTCGGCAGGCCAATGAAGACTGCTGCTTGATCTTCTCCCAGAGTGGGTGTCAGTGAAAAGTAAAAATTCATTTCTTTTCATCTTTGTGTGCAATTATCGTTGACAGAGTGAAGTGCACCATGCTAAGTTTGATGCTAAGTTTGGTTAGAGAGTAGAATCCGAGTATCTCATTAGCTTTTCTCTATATGCTCCCATTTGCAGATCCCAGGATGAGGAAAAAATAATCGGCTCTTAAATTTCAATATGGCAACATTGACAGGTGGTGGGGGGGGGGCGATTTTTTTTATCATTCCTGCTTGGTTCTTGAGGAAAATGTGTCTTTCGTTTTGAGCCCCTGCTCAAAACAAAATCCAAAAGGAATCATTTAAACAAGAAGCAACTGATTAACACAATGCGACCCAGTCCGGATTTTACAGTTGGGTGGGACGGACGGCTAGACGGGGGGATTCAGGACACCTCATCCACTCCTGGGCAAAAGACAACACACTTGTTCCAATGATTAAACGCCTTGAGCAAAATCCCCAAAATACTTAAATGACGCTGGAAGGACTCGGCTACAAATCAATTGCTTGTCAAGCCTTTCAAATTCCAGAAACAAACCACCAGAAAAATATTCCATAATTCCCACTCAAGTCACAATGACTAGATGATTTATTTGATATACTGCATCCATATTAGACAAAAAAAAAAGATACAAACTGTTTGCTGAAAAACAAAGTTCTGCAAAACTGCTGTGGCCTCTCTCACACGTAAGTGACATTTATTTGCCGCTAATTCTGAGTATTTTTTTTCAGTTTGCGCACACACTATTGAAACATGCTCAAACACACGATTGGAATAAATGACAATTTGCCAATGCCTCAAATTGCCGCAGTATAACGCCAACTACGGCCAAGGAGGACTTGCTCAATGTCAGATGTTTTTTTTTTTGCCGAAAGTATTGGTGACTGGTATCGGCAGCATCAACGAGCACCTGATACATTAAAATAAGGCTGTATCGGCCCAGTACCGAGACATGGTTGGTACTCGGCCATTCCTCGCTGCTCTCGCTAAGTGTCCGATGGGTTAGACTGCAGCGAGGCATCACATTTTCAAACACCTTCACTTTGTTGTGTTCATTGTCACCCTCCAAAAACTGCGCTGTTAACCAATTTTGGTTAAAACAACAGCCTGCCGTGTAAAAGATCACAAGGACCACTCGACGTGTTCTTTATGTTCCACTCCCATTTCACAACAACCAAATGGATTATTAATTAGCGGAGAGAACGACGGGCCTGAGCCTCGACCCAAACGTCACCTCAGTCAGCTGACAGCGATGGCGGCGGGTAAAATAGTCCTGATTGTTCCCCACTCTTGACTTTAAGAGGAAGGAATTCCAAATGGTTGGATGATTGAATCCACACGTCTGCTTGTTGCGGACGTCTCATGACACCGACGCCACGTGTCCGCCTTGCAGAGGTGGCAAAACTACTCACGCTATGTACTTAAGTATAAGTTGAGACAGAACTACGTATGCTTTCGTTTTCTATTGTCTTTCAGAGCACCTCATGAAGAAACCGAAGGTGAAAAGTTCTCCGTGAGCACTGCCTGACAAACAAAAATCTGTAGGTAATTAATACTAACCCATGAAAGGTTTGTAATTGCCTATCGAGACCACAAGATGGCATCAAAACATTTTTTTCCCTGTAAGACGAGACAAAATGAAGCTCCTCCCCTCATTTCAACATTGTTCCTTGTACCCAAGATGCCACAGCTTGGAGCTAAAGCCATATATCCATGCAAGGCTTTGGCCTGCGCACAAAAGTTGGAATTAAGGTCTTCAGTGAATAATGATGGAAAAAAATTAAATAAAAATATGCAAAAAATAAGCGGACAGCAAAAATGTTGTGGTTCTCTGTGTCATAAGATTAAATAAGGCCACACATTTTCACTTACATTTTGGCACTGATGACTTCTTTTTGGCCAGTCCCTCACCTATTATAGTCTACGAGAATTAATGAACCAATAAACCCGAAGGTCCATGATGGACGTCAGTAAAAATATTATTTTCCAAGTCCAACCTGGGCTCTGTGTTGAATATTTCACTGTACATGAGCGTTCAACTTTTCATTTCCACATAATTGCCGTATCAGTATTTAAAGCGCGCCATTCAGAACCTTGATACGTTAGTATCGCAAACCCCCTGTAATTTGCTACGACCTGTCCAAGACCCACTGTGAATGGCTCCCGTGACCCACTTTTGGGTCTGACCTGTTGAGAATCACTAGCTTATGAGATGTGGGCGGGAGTGCAGGCTGGGACAGCCCCATGATTGCATTCCCACTCGCTGCGCTCTTGTTTATACGGTGGAGCTAAGCTGGCTTCTTCCTACGTACGGTCGCGGCAGCAGCAGCTGCTCCAGGCTGACCATGGTGGTCTCTGCATAAACACCGAGCATGTGTAAGTGGAAGACAATGGTGGAAGGACACATTGGGAGACATTCTCGGATGCTTTTCATAGATGACACACACACACACACACACACACACTGATGACATCATGGCATAGTCAGTTCGTAGGAGCGCAAGAAGTGGCCCGGTAGTAACACAACACCACACGTAAACAAATGACAGCTGTATTTATAGATTGGCTCATTCTACTATCAGCCATCATAAATCCTATTATGTGAGTGGCGGCTTGACTAGTACTCTCCCCGCCCACCCCTGACACACACACACACACGCACACACACTCCTGGGTGGCTTATGGGAGCTTTACCGGGCCACTCAAGGAGGGAGCCCTGCCGTTGTTGTGACACGGACAAGATGGAAATGGCTCACATCAGACGTGACCTCATCGTGATTGGATCATGCCAATATGAGCGCAAGAGGCATTTAGCGGGGAGCGCAGACAGCTGCAGGTGTGTCCATGTTGTCATATGACTGCCCCCCCCCAACGTCCCAAACTTCACCCTCCCCCCTCCTCCAATTCAAGTGGCCGTCTGTGTGAAATTTGCATGTTTATAGCAGTTAAAAAAAATACTGGTTGTGTGTCTCTGTATTCCTTTGGGGTGGCGGGGGGGGGGGTGTAAAGTGGGCCAGATGTTTTGGGGGATGCACCTGCTACCACTTGGAATATAATCAGGGGTCAAAACATTAGGTACACCACATAGAGCGACATCAAGTGTTAAGAGCTAGGCATATAAACCCAACCTTAATTGAGCCAAGGCACATCTTTTGTTATTGAGAAAATGTCACGACACACTACCAAAGAGAATTATCACAAAAATGCACAGATGGGTCACTGATGTGCTTTGTATCTCCCATCTGATGGAAGAACACGTCGGTCTGTCACTATTATCAGCAAACAATTTTTATTCATGTTGGTATTAAATTAGTAGTAGTAGCTGAGAGTTGTTTCTCATATTTTGATAACAGGAGGAGGCCAAAAAGGAGGTGTGAACTTCAAGTGTGATTGTTGAACTGGACTGCGACGTATACTGTACTGAGAATAGTGACTAATATTTTGCCCATATTACGCAGCACAGTGTTTCCTAATCGTTATAGGGCCAAGGCACATTGACAGTGAAAGAATCCCACACCACACCACCAAAAAAAAATGTCATAAAAAGTGTACACTGAAATAATGATGGTGTGATGCGGTGCAAACGCACCTCGCTGTTTTGTCTGTCACGTTGGTGGCTCAGGTCGACGAACAAAAATAACAAGAGTTGAAAATTTGGGGGCCGATTCAGTGAAATGGGTTCATTTCTCGTCGAACACCTGCCATCCCACTCTGTGTTGAGAATCGCTGATTTACACTAACCAAAATAATCCTTACTGTTCGGATATGAACGGATTCGGTAGGCTGCAGCGCTATTATGCACTACTACAACAACCACAACCACGTTCAGGATTCCCTAAGAGTGTCAAGTGATGTCATCGTACAAGGCAGAGTTTTTACTACAGCGTACCGCGCAGGTGTGCCTAATAAAGTGACGAATGAGTGCGGTGTACAGTTAGTCAGATCCACTCACGTATCTCCGCAGTTTCCTCTCCGGCGGCGACTTCCTCAGCCAGCCCTGGAGGATGACTTCTCCTCCGCTCATCTTGCCGACAACAAGTCGGTTCGTCGGTGCCCAACAGGCGGCTACACACGCAGGACGGCCCCGGTCGGCGCGCGCTTGTCCCCCATCCGAGCCGAGATAAGCAGAACCAGGAGGAAGAAGGCGGGGGAGGAGGGGGGTTCTGGCAGTCCCGGTCGGGGAGATGTTATCGGACGAACCTCGGCAGCTCCTTCTGCGGCGAAACTCGACTGATGCGGGGCAGTGTCACGGGGCGTCTGCGGCTTGTTTTCCCAACTCGACACCACGCCCACGGCCGGCTCGCAGAGGGATGGGCGTCCGGCAAACAACAATATTTTAGTCAAAGTATTTCAAGGTGTATGCCGGTTCACATTCTTTACTACAACCAATAAATTAAACACACTTTTCGGACAGCTGCAAAGACGACTTGCGTTTTAAATGCATGACAAAGACTCACAGTCAAACGTCCCACGGTTGGATTGGACGCAGAAACAGCACCACCTTGAGGCGCTTCAAAGTAATTACAACGTTTCAATGTTTACTCGGCGGTTTGGATGAAGTACTGTACTGGGGTCCCGAGGTTAGACACGGCGGGAGATGAATGACACGCAGTAGTCTACTCTACGCGCAAAATGGGGATCATGATATTGAGGAAAGAAAGATGACGCTGCACTACAAACACGAGTCATCTCGTACTCTTGGTTCCCTTGATACCATACCACAAGTCATTTTATATTCACTTAATTACAAATCATCACTTGACAAGAATTTCAGGAAGATTGATGGATGGACTTACCATCGTCGCAGCGTTCCGTAATTGATGCTCATCGAATGAAATATTCAATATCCACAAAATGAACGAGACTTATTTGCCAAGCAACAGGCGTGGTTTTGATTGACTCTCACAGATGGATATTGATAAAACAGTAACTGGTTATTGTGGAGAACAACTGCAATATTTTGAAAACCGTTTCAAATATTTCAACCCGCTCATGGAGCTGAATAATAGATGCGTTTGTGTACCTCATGTTGTAGCTGAATACAGATGATTTAATTAAAAGAAAGCGAACAAGTGCTGCTTTCTCATTACTAATATGGGAATGTTAAGATTTACCGTGGTACATTTCCATGTAAATGTCAGTAAAAACTCATCATGGATTTCATGACTGAATAAAATAAAAACCGAGTACTCTTGCTACACTGGAATCAAGTCTGACTTACTGTTTGTATTTTCATCAGTAAATATACCAGCAACTCTGTAGGCTTCAGAAAAACATACAAGACATTAATAAAGCACTGTCTTGTTTAATTACTATGACACATACTTGGCGTCATTTAAAAAGGAGCCTCGGAGATTACAGCAGACAAGAATGTGAAAATCTGGGGAAAGGAATCACGTCTTTGATGTTGTCCACTCCCAGAATGCATTGCAGGTATCGCTCAAATCCCATTCCGAAGCCACCGTGAGGCACAGAGCCAAAACGCCTCAAGTCCAAATACCTGAAAATAAATTCATTGTCACTGCAGTGGGCCATGGATACAAATATGCCTTTTTATGAGCATAAACAAATGACTATGCCAGCATTGTATTTAAATATATGCTGATTTTAATTTGTTTTTACCAGCTGTAGGTGTCTTCTAATCCAACCCTGAGAAGAAAGAAATACATGTATTTATCATGGCTTTTACACAAACACTTGAGTATCTGCAATTCCAGCCCCCAAGTCAAATATGACATTAAGACAAACAAGTCTTTTCTCAGCCAAGTTCTGAAAATGTATCCTGTGAGCGAGCCATTCGCTATTTCCATCATAACTTACGCCAATGTGGATTTCTTTTAAGCCAATGCTGATTCTGCTATTTGGCAGAGTAATTCTGACTACCGATTAATTAAAAAAAACACAATGAATGGAACAACTTCACACTGACAAACACTTAAGATATGAATTGCAGGGAGAACATTGGACTGTTTGACATTACTTTGTATTTTTTTATCTTGACAACAGAGAGAAAAATCGGCCAACTCTTTGGCCAATTTCATTTCTGTGTATTGTGCGCATGCGTGTGTGTGTGTGTGTGTGTGTGTGGCTGATGTTTGAATGCCATTGCGTTTTTCTTGTCTAATGTGTTAAAAATACATGGCAAAAATGAGAAAACAAACAAATAAATAAATAGACCATACGTGCCCATATCAATCTTTCTGTAGTATTACTGGCCGTTGAGTAATTGGTGGGGCCCTAATAATAACAACCGCCCCCACAGAGAGTTTCTCAACTCATGACACGAGCAGCCGAGCTGAGAGAAAGTGTTCGCCTTGGCTGAAATAAGGTAGAGAAAAACGCATCTACCATACAAACTAAGGGGGCCGTGAACGTGCACTTACTCTTCCAGGCGAGCCCTCAACAGGTCCAGCCTCTCCTCCCTCAGCGAGCCCCCGCACAGCTCCCCGACGCCGGGCACCAGGAGGTCCACGGCGGCCGCCTAGACAACCAAGGTGCCACATCACAAATTCTGATCTTCGGCGCCTGGCGGGGCCGCCGAGGGGCCTGATCAATCACTGAACCCACCGTATGCTGGGGATAGTCCCGGTTGTCTCTGGTGTAGAACGGCTTGAGCCGGTAGGGATAATCAGTGACAAAGACTGGACGCGTGCCGCAGTGTTTCACCAGATACTTCTCGTGCTCCGTCTTAAGGTCGCAGCCCCACTGAGAAGCGGAGCAAGCGGAGGTCAAAGGTGGCGCAGGCGCAGCCGAGATGATGAGGAGGTCGTACGCACGTTTGTGGGGAAGGCGAACGTCTGCGTACTTTGCTGTAGGATATTTATCGCCTCGCTGTAGGTCAACCTGGAAGTAGATCGACTTCCGTGAGCACTTACCGCTCCCCAAAAAAACCCCAAATAAAAAAGTCCTGTGCCAAAGCCTAAATATTTGTCATTGGTGAAAATAGCAGAGATATAGACAGCTGAATTTCATCAAATGAAGTATCATAAGAACCTCGTGCAGGTGTCACTCGCACTTTTGAATGAAAAAAAGAAAGATACAAACTAAAAAAAAAAAAAGACTCACACATGGAATTTCTCCTTCAGCATGGCCTCCACGGCATCCTTTGCGCATGAGGCAGAAGGAGAACGCAGTGAGACCATTGGTCGGCCGGTCGTCGGGCAAGACAGGAGCTCAATAAGCGACGTGTCCTCGAGGGGGGCGGGGGAGGGACTCACCCTGTGTCCCGGTGTCACGTGCGTGTGAAACAAATCCACGTCTCGAGCGCAGCGGTCCAAAACGTGCTCGGTGGTCCGTTTGAACATGTCCTCCATGACCTGAAGGTGTAAACGCATTGTTTAGCCTGGTAGAAATCAAATGCGTTCCCGAGGTACCGGGTGGGAATCGGTTTTGGGCCGATCCTCAAAATCGGGTGTCTCAAACTGGACCTAGGCGCAAGAACAAAACATGCGACGGGAATGTCCAACAGTTGTTTCATGATATTATTTCACCTTACTGTATTGCATTGTTATATCGAAAGCCGTTTCAAATGACAAAATATCGCGTGCCTCGATCAACAAGCACGAACTTTGAGTGAGGCGATGCGTGGCACGGGCGTACCTCGGTGAGGTCCTCGATGGACCGCGTGAAGGCCACCTCCGCCTCCACCATGTAAAACTCAGCCAGGTGGCGTCGGCTCTGGGAGTTCTCCGCGCGAAATGTCGGACCGAACGTGTAGACTCTGGAAAATGACCTGCAGGCATAATTATGGACAGACACACTTGAGTATGTAGTCAAGTCACTGTGTGTGTGTGTGTGTGTGTGTGTGTAGTCTCTTGCTTTTGCCTTGAGGCACTGCAAAGTAATTCCGTCAAAGAAGATACTTTAAAAAAAAAAAAAGAATAAAATTACAACTCACCCTGTCATGACCTCCAAGTGCAGTTGCCCAGACACGGTCAAATAGGCGGGAACCGAGAAGAAGTTTTCGTCCTGGCTGTTCTGCGGGTAGGAAGGCTGTAGACAAAAACATTCACCACAAATGCAAATAAAAATGATGTTTTCATCAAGTGACCTGCACATTGATCTTAACATTCTATGAGCACAAATGCCATGAACCTGTTCTGAATACCTTAAGTCCAGTTATTCAAATAATAATAAAAAGTTGCATTGGATGGCCAAATACGTTCTCTGAGTAGTATAATATGTTCACATATACCAAAGTTTTTGACCCATAAGGCACTCCTAAAATCCTTCCATTTTCTCAAACATCAACAGCGCGCATCGTGACGCGTTGCGCACTTACGTATGGATGGAAGTCGGCTTTTCAGTTCATCGTCTTGAATTCAAATTCCTTCCTATTGTGACTGCAATGTCCTTCTCTGCGTCGATACGTTTTCGCCATACCGGAACTTGGGACTACTTCCTGCTTCTGCCTCTAAGAATCATGCAACATTCAGTCCTATGAGCTTCATGTGAGCTATTTCTGGTGTGACGCATTTCCACTGTCACAATGTGGGACAATATCATTGCGGTCTGTGGGATTGAGAGGTAAACATCCAGTCAAACTCCTTCCGATTTATTTTAACATTGCGTTGTCATTCTGATCCGCATCAGATCGCTAGTGGGCGTCTAATATGTTTTCGTCACATCAAAACTAGAACTGTGTTCTCCTTCCGAATCTAAGAATCATGGGAAATGGAGACCTCGGAACCGAATGCTCGCCGTTTCGATCATATTTCCAATGTTTAATAACCTTTGTACCCAGTGTTTCATATACATATATAACTGTGTAACCCTCGTTACACAGCGTACCTAATGACGTGTCCGGAGTATGCGGCTGCGGCCTCGCAAAGCACTCTCACCTCAATCTGAAAGAGCTCGCCTGCCCCCTCACAGTCGTTGGAGGTGATGATCGGCGTGTGAATGTGCGCAAAGCCATTTTCCTGGAAAACAGGAAAGAGAACAAGCGTCGGGTCTCGCTTCGCACACCCTCCGCTGACTTGACCTCACCTTGAAATACGAGTGAACGGCCCAAGTGGCCTCGCCGCGTATCCTCAGCAGGGAGCCGAAGGCGTTTGTTCTGCCGCGGAGGTGAGGGAACTGGCGGATGTACTCCAGCGTGTGGCGCTCTTTGATTTTAAACGGGAAATCCTGGAAATGGGAACAAGGGATGACGAGTGGCTAAGCATCCCATAAAAAGGTCAGGGACGAGTTTAGCGGCATCAAGTAATACTGGAGCCGCAAGAAAACATTTGTTGTATTCGTGAGCCTGCACACAAAAGAGCGTCCTCACCAAAGGGTTACATTCTCCAACCACGTGAATGTGCTCGGCTTCCAGCTCCACCGCCTGTTTGGGGTGTAGACTTTTCTTCAGGATCCCTCGAACCTCAACGGCACTCCCGAATGTGAGCAGTCTTTAATAGGCAAAAGAACATTTGTTTTCCTCTTGGAATAGGTACAAAATATAAAAGTCCTTACGGGTCATTCAGCTCAGGACTGGCAACGATCTGCAGCGACTGCAGGCAACTCCCATCATTGACGTCCACGAACAAATTTGCCTTCTGCGATCTAACGGAGCGAACCCAACCCTGTGAGAAAACTGCTTTTTGTTATTCATAAAGATGTAGATCAACAACTCAATGGAAAAAAAATGCAATGTACAGTGAACTGCAGGCAATTTACTTTATTTATTTATTTATTTTTTTGGGTAGAACCCATCCTTGGTTAGTTATTGAATGAAAGCCTCACCTATTCCCAGTTTTTGTTTGCTTTCTGAAACGCCCTCAAATGCCACAACATGCTGCCAACTCCCTGAGTGGCAATGAAAAAGCTCAAGCTAAGAAACGATTGGGGTCAAGTTATTTCTCGACAACGGATGCGGACAAAACAACTGAAATCAAATCATCTGTCAGGCATTACTTTTACAGGCTAGTTTAGTAGGATGTGTTCGAAATTGGCTGTGAGGCGTTTAGTGTAAATGGGAAAGTTTGACACCACCTCTATGGAAAACGTTATTAGATAAACAGGTGGAATGCCTTATTGTTTGATAAACATACAGGATATTAAGTGCAAGAGAAAAATCCGGACAAGATATGATAATGTACTTGGAAGGAGACGCTCCCAGATTCGGCGCGATTAGTTTGAATCTGCGAAGCGTTCGGACTCTCATGACCACACACCGGACCGTATTAAACGTTACCTGCACTTGGACGTTTGCTTCCAACCCAGTGCCTGAAAGTAATTCGGCAACTCGAAGCTTCCTCGGCGCCTTGTTGCAGAAACGCCTCAGAGTGATTAACAACACCCTTCGGTGCAATGAAGCGACGGAAAACCTTTGTGCAGCAGTCCGAAACATCTTAACAACATCACGACTCCTCAAACGCTGAAGCATAGGTGGCAAAACAAAAGGATTAATAAGAATTTATGCATCAAATTGTTTGCTTCTTCTTCACTTGACATTCACGTTGATTCATCTTGCTCTTCTCTTGCGTTTCCTGGTTGTCTCTTCCGCTATTGGTCCGGTGGATTCACGTGTTCACGAACATCCAATCAGATTACGGCCTGGCACGTCTGATTTTTAAGGTGATCATGGGTGTTGTAGTTGTCTTGCCAAATGCCAAGAAGAGCGAGAAGTCTTGTTGTTCTTGCGACTTTTTCCATATTCAGATATTAGAAGCAATTTACACCATATAGTTATGTCTTTCTTTTCATCTACATTATCCACTCAAACGCAATACATTCCATATGACACATTTGGTTACCTTCATGGACCCCGAAAATGCGGCTCGTTCAGAAAAACATAAACCACAACATCACAATGACGTACAAAAGTAATGTAGAACAATGACCATTAAGAGTATTATCGGAATATTGTAGATATTTTTCAAGGAGAAAAAAGTCGTACTACGTTATCAAACTGAGTCTCCATATAACATGAAATTCCAATAAAATTGATTTCCGAACGTCCAGTAGGTGGCTGTAATGCAACCGGTTTCCCAACGGCCTTTATAAATTCAGATTCATCGTCAAAGTGACTTTTTCCAGCACACGTAGAAGCATTTGCAAATAGTTATAGCTAACTACATACAGTACAATGTAAAATCCAACAATCTAACATGAAATTTTGTAGTTAATTGTTTGTGTTCGACCATTGGTAGCGGTTGTGTGCGTACGTGCGTGTTGAGCATTATTTTTCAGTATCCTAAATTTGGTTGGCATTCTGCTCACGCTGCCGGACCCGAACCGCATCCTCCCATTCTGCTGAGTTTTAAAACCATCCCATCTGCAGGGAAGTCCTCTTGAAATTAATCTCGCGTGATGAACGGTCCATCAGCGTGAGGTCCATTTGAGCTAAAAGCCCGCTCATTCACCACACGCCGTGACACCGGGTGCGCTCGCCCACCCTTGGATGCGGATGCCATCTTTGGAATAAGATGCCACGGACAATTATTCACCTGGCCGTCAGCCCGCACCCTTGCCCCCTCACCATGGAGCCTGGTGGTCTGAGAGAGATGCGGCAGGGTGTGGGTGTGTGTGTCACTGTGTGTCTGTGCCTTGCGCGCAGCCTCCGTCTGTCTCCTGACACATCATCATTAAAAGCTGAACGTGATGCATGGCTGATATGAGTCATGAAAGATCTCCAGCTCGGAGGAGCAATTACACACACGCGCTCATCTTAATGGGGGGAGCGGAACAATTCTATTTGGTGATTAATGATGCTAGAGTGCAACGCTAACGGAGGGCATTAAATTGTCAGAAATGTCACATTTGTCTTGCAAGCAAGGAACGAGGTTTGTTAAATTCGGTGTGGACCTCGAATGCCCGATTCTCATAAATACCACAAGGACCTCTAAATAGAGTAAGTTGAAATATTACAAAAATATAGTGCCCCAAAATTTTGGCAGGAATATTCACTCTCTTGAGTTCTCACCGATACCGAGTAACGATACCTCTGATACTTTGAAACATAATATTTCATTTCAAACATGTGACAAAAAGTTGTGACCGTAGACCTGTCTTTCTAACGCAGATGATGGACTGCCCAGTTTTAATGTTACAAAAAAAGAAGGGAATGTCCATGTTATTACCCCAACAAAGCATTCGTATTATTTTTCAACAATAATATTTTAATACTGCAAAGGAAAATACATTTGTTGGAGTTGTGACACTAAAACAAAAAAAATCAAAACGACCACAAGCAAAAAAAAATGATGAGCAACAATACAAAAACAGAATTTAGAAAACAATGCAAGTAATTAAAAAAAAAGATTGTGATAACCCCAAATGCCAAAAAAATCAAGAAACAATTCATGTGGACAATGAAATGGGAAATTCAAATAATGCATCAGTACCACAGGGTGGCGCTGTAGCTCCATATGAGCCAAAACATGACAAAGCCAAATCCTCCCCGTCTCCTCGTGTCTTTTACCCCCCGGATTTGCCTGCGATATATTATTCATTTGTTGCTGCGAGGTCGAGTGAAATAGAAACAAGCTGCTATTGTGCTGTTCTGCCTGCGCTTCCATCAAGAACAACGCGGCCTTGTTCGGCTTCAGCCGCAGAACCGGTTTGAACTCGTTTGCCAGTGCTTTGCGCTGCCGCGATACGAGTACACAGTGCACCTTTGGGGAGGATGACACTCGCGTCCTCCAGCACATATCAGCGACATGCGTTCAAGTACATCAAATCGTCCGTGCGCCTCGTGTTCGACAAGCGCGAGAAAAGGCGGAGATTTGTCATCCGGGTTCCTAACCGAGGATTGCACCTCCTCCTCCAAATATTGCGCATTCCCAAACCGAGGCCGGCCATGGATTTTATGTGGCACGGCTCGTTAAGTGCTGATTAGGCCGTTATCGCGGTGTGATTTCAGGGAATGGCTCGTGTGACAGGCCAGCAGACATGAGTCGGGCGGAACTAACAACCACCGCCATCTTCCCTCAAAGTCATTGGGGATGGCGCGCTCATTGGCGCCAACTCGGCGACTTGGGCGGGAACCTTTCCAACCCGGGATTCTGAGTAGAGCCTGCCCTCTGGTGGTATGTCATTAAAAAAAAAAATAAAATAAAAAAAAATCAATTCCCAAAGTCAGTTCGGTTGTGTTTAACTTTTTTTCAACATTCAACAGGGCGTAATATCTATCTGTCATTGTAATATTTAATTTAAAAAGATCTTAAAACATCACACTTCATGTATCAAGATATGTATAAAATCACCTTTAATTGGACAGATGCACAGCCTGCATATTATATTACAGAGAGAGAGAGAGAGAGAGAGAGAGAGAGAGAGAGAGAGAGAGTGTTGTGTGCGCGTGTATAGATATATAGATATAGATCAATAAAAATGGAGTGTACTGTATAGCGTTGGGGTCCGTCTTTAGTGGGAGGATGCCGTGTTTTGCTGTA